GCAGCAGAAGAGGACCTGAAACGACCCAGAGCGAATTTGAAGAACACAGAACGGCCTAGCCTTGACCCACATATCGCGAAATAGCGGTGTGTTTGGCCCACATTCAGTTGTTGAAAAGGATTGACAGCATGCAACGAATGTGTCGGTGTGACAATAGATGTAAATTGATGTAAACAGTTGCAGTTCTCGCCCTTTATCGGTTGCTTTCCCGGAATCATTGGTTTCCCAGCCCATCGAAAACGATAGACAACATGTATATACAATATTATACAACACTTCTTTTCATTTGCGTGCTCTTCAAGTCATTTGGAGGCTACTTGTTCGAAGCTATCTACTTTCCTCTACAGTTCTCTAGAGCTCTCTGCTGGATGTATCCCTGCTACATCCTGCTATTGAGACCACCACTGACCACCACCACTAAAGTTTACTCCAGGACGCTTTGGCGTGGCATTGGCGTCGACTTGTATGATCAGTATTCTAAGGCCACTTGGCTTTGACAGTGTCGGCTTCATGACATTTGGAGCTGCAAAACAGGTGCGACTGAGTGGCAAAATCACCATGTTCCGAATGACAGCCTGTCCCACCATGCTTTTACGGTTCGAACGCAATTGCATCGCTCCCAGGCTGCTAAGTTCAAGACAAGTCAATTTATGGGTGTTTGTAGATTGGGTCCGATTACCAGTAACAGTTGGCAAGCTAGCTACTAACGATCATCATCCACCACTACCGGTCATCGGATATACTTTAGGTATTAAGTGCGCACGCGGTGTGCTTGGTGTATGGATCCCGGATTGAAGCGATTCGATGTACTGCTGCCGTGCTACCCAGGGCTCTACCATCACCTGGTGGGGCGTGAGCAGTTGTACCTCGGACGTGCAGGCGCGCCATGTGTGAGGCGAATCTGGGAAGATGCCTCCGAGAATTGGGTGGCCAGTGGATTGAGTTTGGTTGGAATTGCCCCAACAAAGTAAGGGTCAAACATGTTACACAATACAATATAGCGGCAAGAGTAAGACACACACAAAAATAACACATATATATATGCATATATAAGCCATATTATATCATGCCATATTATAGCTAGTATAATATATTGTAATTGTTATATCAGTGGCAGGCCCCCATCGCCAATCACTCATACATCAGCACATGGCTGCGCAAGTTGGACCACTGTCGCCGACGGTCGCGGACGGCCCAGTGCAATACCTAAGTACTGTCGATTGGACTGTCGTTGTTTCTCCGGATGAGCAAGTTGTTGAATTGATTTCACTCGACTGGACTCTTGGGGTGTGTTTGGAGCCTTGCTTTGGGAAATCATGGCATTCACTGTCATTTGGCAATACTTGGAAAGCGCCACACACTCACAGCTCCAGGGATTTGCCAGGGTTGGCCGGCGACCATCTCCGTTGCAGAACATGTCATAGTCTTCAGTTGCAGGTGCTTTGTTCGCACCTGAATGTCAAACCTAACGAATTATGTGTTCTGGTCAGTTCAAGGGCAACGGTTCATTCAAAGTGGGTCTCAATGTGGCTCTGGAACTCTAGGTTCTTGCCATATGTTTTGCTTATGCAATCTGAGTTACCCGTGTTCCACTATGTTCCAGTTTTAGCCGCAGTCCGGACGAGTTTTCAGTGACTCCGCCTGCAGGTGGCAAAGAACTTCATGAAGGGCTGCGGCACGGCCTGTAGCTTCTTGACCGTGAATACCAAGAGCGCGGTGGATATTTCGAAGATCACCTTCTACGGCAACGAGAAGGAGCAGCTCATGTTCTTCCAGCGTTGCAGGGGTCCTTGGAGGACTCCTCTGGCAATCAGGATACCAGTGAAGTACGGCATGCTACTGGCTGGGACCGGGCCAGGAGCCCCAAAAAAGGGAAATTGTCAATCAACAGCTCGGGAACCACTGCTAAGCTACTAACCTAAAATTTGATTCCTTGTTTGATTGGAGAGGTGAACCATGCTTAGATAAGTCCAAATGATAGATTTGTGTGATCTCATGTGATCTCAAAAATGATTAATTCAACAAGTCAGAGCGTCATGAACGCGTCCTCGGCCAGGAGAGCTTGCTGGCACCTGGAACTCAGCTCAAGGTGCCCAACTTGAAATATTCACGGTCATTTATTCGTAAATCACCCAAACATCGGAATATGGAACACTTGCATCCTCCAGAACAGACATCCACATTTAGATTGACGAAGGAGAAAGATGAACTTGTCAGGGTTGTCCTTACTTAGCCTTACTTTCTATCCATATGTGTGTGTCTTAGTCTTAGAATAGGAAGATGCGCCATTCATGCGCCAGAGGGTTCTCCCAGGCTGCCCCAAAACATGCCATGCCTTCTGCTGCCTTCGGTGCCAGGTCATCAGTGCTGAGCGGAAAGGCAAGGTGTCAGAAATCACCCTGGAGGACCGAAGGGAAGCGCTCCGAGACCCCAGGTGACCGGGTGACACCAACGACGCTTCGACCAACCGGTCGATGGAATGCCGGGACCAAAAAGTCGAGACGACCGTTCGATGGAATTGAGGACCAGATTAGCCTGAATTGGCCATTTGAACCTATATAGATGGATCAAAACAGATCCTCGAATATCCTCGGTTTGTTGCGATGCAAAGAAGAATGGTTTGCATTTTTTTAAAGATGAGTTTCCACTGCAAACATCATTTCCATCCAATGTTCAGTACTGTACATGATTTGGAAGAGACACAGGGGCGCGCCAGCTGAGTTGATTGACGGACACCTCCCATCAGAGTCAGAGGTTTATAAGTTTCGACCACCGGTTCGGAGAAACATGAGTTTAGGACACCAACAACTGGTGAAAAGCAGTGGGGATTAATTAACAACACTGCAGTGGGGCCGTGGGGATTGTGTTTGTTTGATCTTTCTGAGTGGTTTCTTGATGGTTCACCCAGTCTGCTCGGAGGAAGTGGGCCGCCTCGTGGACTGAGCTGCCGTAGACTGTGGAGGGCTCGATGGCAGAGTTTGGCCTTCATCGATACTTGTGGGTTGACGCATTGAGCTGGCCGGTGATATTATGGTCTTATAAAGGTAGTTTTGTTTGAGACAACATACAATTTATTTTTTTCCTTTGGGAAGTGTTTGTTTCAGAATTTCAATCATACCATATTTGTGTTTGATATTGCTTGATCTTCAACATGGGACTTCATGGTGAAAACAAGTAGGTGTAAGCAGCTCATTGAATCTTAAAGCAGAAATGTGCGATTGATCAACAAAAGTACTTTCTACGGCAGCAGTCCTTCTTGCTGCAGTTTTGGTTCGACTGCTTCATTCTGCATTGGGCAGCAGTATGGGTGGTTAGTAATTTTAGGCATCTAGCAGCCGCAGTCAGGCCAGCGGTCAGGCCTCGGGCTCACAGCTGCCTGCAGCTGCTTGCAGCTGCTTGCAGCTTGATTTAGTTGTCCTAGAGGGTGCATCAAACAAACATACTTATAATTTAATATAATTAACTTTGTCACGCTCAGCTGGGCACCAAAACCAAGATATTGTGAGTAAGGACCAAGTGATCAGGTTCCTTGGATATTATTGTTGTTTGTTTTGCCAACATGCAGAACCTGCTTGAGCCCCCTAAGCAGACAGGCAACCAATTCTCAACTTTTACAGGTCACAACTGTGTAAGATATTTTCTACTTTGTTCACAGTGAGTAAGACGCTTCAATAGCCCTAGCGCATTGGATAAATATATAGCAATATGTTGCACTGCAGAGTCACCACAGTCGTAGGCAACCATTCATGGTCGATCTCCCAGATCTACTGGGTCATACTTGAAGCCATACTTGGAGTCTCCACTTGCATGGTGTTTTTTGTATGATGTTAGGATCCTCTTCAGGGGCAGGGGTTTGTGGAATTCTTTGAGAGCTGCATTTGATTTCTGGACTTTTGTTTTCCGTAGTACTTTCCACTTACCCATACACCATCCCATGAGGATCCTACAAGACGTTTTGTGGACCTGCACACTCGTTGCAGATGCATTGCTAAGCCTGAGAATATGCCCAGTGGTTGCTTTCTGGTTGCTGGAACCTGTCAATCCGAAGAAAGCAGCGTCAGAGAAGGTACGGAGGGTTTGAACAATTGCAAGATGTTGTGCACAGGAATTCTCTCTACAACCTTCAGTTTTTCAACAGATTGCTCAAGCATGGCCTTTACAAACTCAGATCCTGTGTATTCAGTCAGGCAACACAATTTAACAGAACACAATCCTTCTCTCCTGACCAGAGAATTGCAAATGTTTGGTGGCGTGCACTGGCTCGCTTGTTCAAAGCTACACTTTAAGTTAGCCACAAAGAGCAACTAGGACAGACCATGAAGAGGTTTGCCTCATCCATCATACTGGTTTGCTTTCCCACATAGGAAAGGTCTCAGCAACTTCAAAGCAATGTTTCTTGAAGCAGACTCAAATTTCAGTCGGCAGGTTCCTGCCCGACTTCCGAGTGAAAATTCCCGGAGTGAGGAGGTTTGGAAGTGGATGTTAGTTCAGTTCGGGCCCAATTGATGCTATGATCAATCCCGTAGATGAAGCACCGTGGGCACCAAATGCACTGCCAGGTTGTTTTAAGTCTTCGTGTGACCGTCCTGGTTGCTTGATTGATGGTCTTTGCGCCGGAAAACGTGCTGTCGCTGGAGTTGCTGTGATTTTCCGTTGAAGCATGGCCTAGCGGAAGGCTAGGGTCCTTTGCCAAGGGTCTCTTTGATCAGGATTTGGTATTGGGTGGGTGGTTTGGGGTGTCATAGTCCACTTCAATGATAAAAGCCCTTAGATCCATAAGCGGACCAGAAAAGCCAACAAAATCATGTATAGAAGACTACAAGATCCTAGACGTTGTCCTTCAATGTCCTTCATGTCTTTGTTATCTTGGTGCTGAAGGCATGCATTATTTCGTAGCATCTCTTGGTGTTCAACTGGTGCACATCGTCACATCTCGTCTCCACATGGAACCGGGAGAGACGTGAGCGACTGACGACCCTTCCGCCTTCCGCTCTCTCCAGGACGTCCGCATTGACCAGGAGAAGGTGACCGCATTCCAGGCTGGAGACGAGGGAGTGAGCCGCTGAATGCCGGCATGGGAGCTCACCCTGTCGACCAATAGTTGTTGTTTCTTCCGGTAAATGCCCAGAAGTGGGGTTTTGTGGGGGGTTCTTAGACAGTATATAGCTAATGCTATAGTTACATAGTGATTTTTTCAGGTAGGTGCGACTCAGACAGGTCCGGTCGTTAAGCAACGATCATGACAGGCCCGTCCTCGAATCTCGGAGCCCAAAAAGCTGGTGAAAGTCGAGCCGCTCGATGGTCCTCGAGCGGATCAGCTTGTCCCCGAGGTTGCAGCTTTTGGGAGCGCAAAAGTAAGTCCTGGACCTTTTGGATTGTGTTCGGGCCATATCAGGCCAGTTCCACGAAAAAGTGTGCCTTTGGCGCTCAGGGCTTCTGCAACATGGTGAATGCCAGCCCACAGGCGGGTCGCCGAGCCCTGGCGTTTCATGCGGCGTTGGAACTGCGTTTCAATCGCTCTTCCGTATCTTCCGTTGAATTGACGTCTCCGTCAACCACTCGTGTTTGAACACCGGAGACTGAAAGAAAACCCGTACAAATCCTCCTAGGTCGTAGCAACACCTCCGAAGCTAAGTGCGAACAGCGTTTAAGCAGAGGAGGCAGGCAACTGAACGTGGACTCCAACCCATCTAAGAGGTAGTGAGCTCAAACGGTGGTAAAGCTGCCTTATCACCAGTTTGGCTGTGGTTACTCAGCTGATATCAGTTACTCAGTATTTGGATCCCAGTATTTATGTGGATAATAGGATGAAATAGTGCATATCCAGTTGTTTCATCACTCAGTACTAGATTCATGTGAATCCAACAACCTGGCTCTACTTCGACAAAGGCCCTGGAACCCCGGACACAGAATTCGACTCTGCCCGGCTTCGACCTTGGTCGCTACAGCGGAGGTCGCTCTCAGCTACCCGGTGGAGGTTGCAGGCACCGAAGTTTTTCCGACCTCTCGCCCGCTCGGAGAGCTTGTGCAGTGTCTCTTGTTCACGAAGCGAGAGAGCAGGACTGGGAGCGACAAAAGCCGGACTGGGTCGTTGTTTGCGTGGTGTTTTTGCTTGGGCGTATCGGGTACCCCTTTTTCTTGTAATATGAATGATCTTCTGCCCGACCTGGATCCTCATTTTTTCAAGCTCCAAACTGTGGTGACGACTGAACGGTACCGGGCCACAAAGTTCAACATATTTGAGATGGTTCTTAAACATATGTAGTTAAGCAATGTGTCAAAGACTGAGGACCTCAATTGCAGCGGTCAAGAACACCAGCGAGTGGTGCGGGACCGTGATGTTGCATGGGAGGACAGCCAATATAACCTGGTTCATCCAACTTTGGCTGTGGTTGTGTGTCAAAGTATGGATGCCCTCCAAGCCCCCTAATCCGTTGAGTCCAAGGCCATTCTTTAAACGGTCTTTAGGTGATCCGAAAAGGAACTTCCTTTCCTTGGGTAGTGCCTAAAACAGTCTTTGGACTTCTAGGGTATATATATATATTATAAACAATATACTAATTTTGGCGGTCACCAAGATCCAACACTGTAACACTGTAGCTGTGTTTGCGACGTGGGATGGACGTGGGAATGCCATATTTGCTGTCACCAGAGGCCTCACGACGTGGCATTGGGAAGCGACATGGTGGGAAGTGGGATTGTTCCCAGCTCCCCGGCATTTCCACTATATGAAGAACCCGGGGTTCGTCTACCTTGCTGCAAGCTTTTGGATCTATATATATACAGATATATATATATAGGTTTGCTTATGAAGTAGTGAACAAATCATTGAGCTGGGAAAAGTCTGTCCCTCATTGTTTGAACTCCCCCTTGTCAGGTGCTATTGCATCTTTGTGCCCGCCTCCTCCGCAATTGTTCCAGCAGCTGCAGCAGATCCTCGCGAGTTCCTGGCTGCAAAGCATGACACATCGTGACACTAAAATAGGAGCAGATACCCTCCTACTCACTCACAGTGGAAGTGGATGGCCCCACTGTTTGTAGAGCCGAGACTCCATGTTCCACTTCCATGTGATGTGTTCACAGTGTAATCCTGGACTCCTGGACCATGAAAACCGGCATTTTTGAAGCAGACACGTTGCGGCACCGTTGTTTCATCCAACGAACACGCCGGGGACTGGCACCACCGAACACTGAAGGGCACGGTGAAGGCTATGTCAGTGGTGATTCAACAAAGCCACCGTTGGTTGGTTCGCAAAAGAATCTCCACGTAAGGGGGAACAGGTGAAGAAAAGGTGAAGAAAGCAAGTGTTTCTTTTCTTGAAGGGTGGGAGACTGGATGAGTTTGTTCATGAAGGTAGCGGGACCACACCCAAAGTTGGGTACCAATTCGGAAATTTTACATGGACCGCTGGAAGACAGCTGTTTACTAGACCGGGTCATGTTTCATCATGATATATCATGATGGTTTTTGCTTATAATTGTATATAGGCATTCAAAAGCGCAAAGACTTATCTCACTAACATACCCTCCTGCGTAATTGTTTCCAGAACCGGCTCAGGCTACAAGCAGGCAAGGGTCGACACACGACTGCTTGAGCAGCAATGTACTCAGAGTGTACTTGTACCAGCTTGTGCAGTGAGTGATTTGGGGGCACGAACAGCAAACGTGTTTGGAATCAATGTTCTGGATGTTGATTTGTCCACTAATATCAGCACATAAAGACTCTCAAAGAAAATGCTGGATAAGCCTAGATAGATGCAACCCGCATCCATTCAATTACCTGAACATGTTTGTTATATACTTTGGGCACGGCCCCAAGCAGGGCCTTCATGGACACCTGAAGTTGATCAGTTAATTTACAGTGGCTTCAGAGTAGATGGCGGAGACCGCTACATGTCCTTTAGACGGGTGTCCATATAACCACCTCTTGGGGTTTGTGCCTTCTACTCTCAATCCCAGTTTTTTTTGTTTTGTTTTGTTTTTTTTGTTTTTGTCTAGTGAGAGTCGTCGGGTTTTGTTCTATACTGTGTTGATACGTTCGTTCTATGCTTGCAGGACGGTAGATCATGTCTTTTGCGTGCCGTTGTACTGGCTAGACGCCGTACCCTGGAAAACAAGCGCCTTAAATGGATTATGCAGAAAAGAGTCCTGGAATTTCACAGCGTAACGTGGGGACAGTGGATATTTCAATTAATACACCCGTGTCACATGTCCCCTCGAGACGCAGCCAGATTGGCCGAGTCGACCAGATTTGTCCAGATATTGTTTAGCTACCCACACCGCACTGCCACCCCCGCTGCACCGCTCACTTGGTCATCTCTAAAGTCAATTGAATTGTGATATCTTATGTTTGCGATGTCGAGTTCCAAGAGTCCAGATTGACTGTCCCAATTCTACACTCCTCCGGTCTGCCATCTTGAAACAGGCGGTTGTTGCAAAGCAGGAATGGGTATATGTTAGAGAGCAATATGTAGTCATCCCCAAATAGATAGACAAGTCAGTCCCCTTTTGTAACATCGAACACCATGTTGTGTCTATATATTGTGTGACTGACATAGGGGCATTTGGACAACTGACTTGCAGCAGATGATGGCGTGGCATGTGATGTGCGAGGGCAGTTTTAAACATAGTATATAGAAGCTTGAAACATAGTATATAGAAGCACACACACATCACGGATGATACAAAATCACATACAAGATAACGTCAGCAAAGCAAGTCCCAGTGACAATATGTGCGTCATTGGAAGCACAAACCGTATTATTATTTGACCTCCTCGGCCAGACGCAGCACTGGCCACAAGCCTGGCAGCAGGCTGGACCAGCCTGTTGAGTTGAGCAAATGGACTGAGCGGTGGACCACTGGAGCGCTTCTGTGCGGGGTCACTGGGATTCCTTGAAGTGGAACAAAAGACATCCATGCTAGTACCCATGCTATCCCATGCTTTAATTGGTTTAAACAGAAAGACGTTGAAACTAAGACTCCCAGGACGCGTGATTTCCTGTATGGTAGTGACGTGGGAAGGCGGCTTTGTGAACCATTTTGCTTGGAACTTCTGCAGTGGCAAGGGCGCTGCGTGCTGCATCGAAACCTCTTGGAGCATGGCAGATGACATGAGAGGCAGCGTTCTTCAGCAGGCGAAGACAGCAAGCCAAGGGCCATTGGCCATTGCAAGTGCGTGCACAACGCCTCGGCTTCTTGTTACTAGTAATGCCCTTAGCTACTAACTAGGAGCGTCCTTGCTACTAGTAGCGATGCACCTTGTTACTAGTAGCTTCTTGTCACCAGCTTGCTTGGAAAGTGAGTGAAGCGGCCGTTGCACGGTTGCACCTTTTTTTGCGGAGCTCAACATCGCTTGCGTTTGGATGACCTCTTGAATGGTGATGTTGCAGTTTGTTTGCATTGTTTTATTTCTGGTCTACGTAGCTTCTCAAACTGAGGTTCAAGACAGCTTGATTCCTGTGCCTTCAGCCGTGGTGCTAACTTGTTCCTCCTGTGGTCAAGATCGACCGATGGAACAAAACAACCGCACCGCACCGGTGCAACGCGTGTGACCACATCTTTTCGGGACAGGTTCCATCTGAGGCACATGCAAGGTGCATGTGCACGTTTTATCAGTGTTATTCACGCCTTTTTAAGAGTCAAAGGGATGAGGGGTCTGCTGATTATCCACCAAGGTGAATGGTTGGTTGGGAAGGGACACCTTGGGATCTGAAACATGCAAGTGTTAGGACCTTCACTTGAATGCCATTTTGGCTCAAGTGAAGGTCCGGGGGTTTTCATTTTTGGCCATGCCGCCGATGGGACCCACTGGACCTTTCCCGTAGGGAGTCGATTGGACTCGCTCTCTGCGCGGGCTCGTGGGCGATATCACGTGGACTGCTGGCCACGATGCCTTCGAGGAGACCCAGAGCCCGGACACCGTCGAGACCATCCACTTCTCAGGCTTCGGGGCAAGGGTGGGAGCTCCCCCCTTCCGCGAGGCCTAGGTCACGATCCCCATTGCCACGCTCGCGGAGCACCTTGGCATCTCCGAGCGGGCCGTCCGCAAGTACATCCTCCATGCCCTGGGAGGTGCTCAGGCCGGGCCAACCAATGGAGCAAGAGCTTCAGGACTTGCTTCAAGACAAGCCTGATGGCCTGCGAGAGTTGTTGGTCCTGGTCGGCGCCCAGACATGCACCGATGTTATTGGTATTTGGGGGAGCAGCCAGGAGCTCCTGCAGGAAGTGGAGAGCGAGATTGGATCTCTGCCTCCCGACAAGGAGTTCGCGGTGGCTGCATTTTGGACAGTGGCTTCAGGCCGGGCTCACAGCACCCGTGCCAAAGCTCAACGGCGTGTGGAGGATCATCGGAGGTCGTGCATCTCGACTCACCTGGTCCAGTCTGGACCGGATGCCACAGTGCCGCCTTCAGGCGTCAGGATCCGCCATTTGACCTCCACAGGCCCGGGTTCGGCGGCCCCCACTATGCTACAAGATGCCTCCCACGACCCGTTCGCGAAGGAGGTGTTGCAGAAGAACGCCAAGCTGGAGGCGATGTTTGACTTATTGGCGGCAGATTTCCTCGACTTGGAGGAATTGGGGGTCGACCGTGCCATGATGCGAGATCCAGTTCGCCGCCAACTCCTCAAGGAGACAGTTATGCCAGCGGCTAGCCGCGTGTCGCCTCAACGAGCGGCTGCGCTGGTGTGCGCCCTCAGAAGGTGGAGGACCTATGCGCTGGACAATCAGTTCCACGTTCGTGCCCCTACACCCCTTCAGTTGAGTGCTTTCTTCAAGGCCGTGGCGGCCGGGGGCCCTACAGCAGCTACAAGTATGTTCCATGCCCTGAAGTGGTTCCGCCAGCACTTCGCCCTCCCGTTTGAGCTGGATCATTGGCTGTTGCAACCGTACAAGTTGCTCCCCGTGAACCATGCGATTCAGCAGAAGCAGGAATTGCAGCCTTGGGAGATGGTGAACCTGCTCCTGCGCCTTCGTCAGGCGTCAGGTACGCACCTACTGCTCCTGGCTATGTTCGTGTGGGCAGCGACATCCTGCATCAGGTTTGAACATTTCCAACGCTCCAGCTTTGTGGGAGAGGCGGACACGTTCCTCATCTTCAAGTGCTCACAGGGGAAGGCTCGGCGTCAGGGCACCCGACCTCCCTACGAGTGGGCTATGCCTGAGTTGGTCTTCCGTGGGGCTAGCCTATTGAAGATTGTGAAAGACTTCGTCCTCCATGAAGCCTTGCCGGATGTTGGCTTTCTATGGCCGGCAGTGGCTTTACAGGCTGATGAGTTGTGGCAGGTGACCGAGACCACCCCCTGGATTGTCACGAAGAAAATGTCGAGGGGGCGTTTCCTCGAGTTGATGAGGGGCACACTGATGGATATTGGTGTGGACCCCGCCCAAGCACAGGTGGCCGGGTTTAACAGACTGAGGCGCTTCCTGCCTACGCTGGGCCAGATATGTCGTTTGGACCCCCAAGACCAACAATCTCTTGGAAGCTGGGTGGAAGTGCCGAGTGCGGGTGGCCCCACTCCCCAGCGCAAGAGTAGGGCTACGTGGTCAATGGGCGTGCATTACGCCGGACAGAAGGTGGTCCATAGCGGCCTGCTCAAGGCGGCCCTGGTCAAGCGCTTCCTCCAGTTGTGGGAGCTCAAGCAGCCTGAGTTGGCCCTCACGCACGAGGGGCTGCTGCCCAGAGACTCATGGTCCTGGCAGGAACTCGCTGTGGCAAATGAGCGCTTCCCCCCGGGGATGGAGTCGGTCGAGCTCCCCGAGGTGTCTTTGACCCCGGAGGAGGGGGCCCAACCAGGCCAGCCGGTGACTGAAGTAGTGAAGGAGGAACCTGAGGCGGACAACCTGTCACCCGCCGACCACACAGACGGGATTGTGCCCGTATCTTCATCGACTACGTCCTCGTCAGCATCAGACATTTCGGCAGCCGCGTCCGACTTGGAAGGCATTGACGCCCCAGCGGACTTGGGCTGTGAAGGCAAATGGTTCGTGCAAGCCTCCCGGGTGCATCTTGTCCAGGGAGAGCTGGACGGGCGGCTCCTCCCGTTCTGCCGCGATGCGGCCTACGCGCAAGACCCGAAGCAGGTCGGTGAGGGTTTTAACACTCTTCCCAAGAGCGCGCTGTGCCAGCGCTGTTTGGCTCGCATGCCACGGGCTCTGTACAAGGCCCTGGCAGATACGTGCGGGTGGCTTCACTAACCGGCCACCCTGTGGGTATGAAAAATGCTGCGGGCCTGTCTTCGGGGGGGGGGGGGGGGGGCGCGGGGGGGGGGGGGGCCCCCGTGGAACCTTGGGGGGGGGCCCCCGTGTTGATCCCCCCCCCTTTTTCAGGTAAGCCGTCATTGACATGTTCACTTAAGGGGGTGTGACATCTGCGGCCCTGTACACACTGGTGCAGTGTGGGGTGCGGTTGTGAAGCTGCGTCTTCCAGTCATCCTCCACTCCCGTGGTCTTGGCCCGAGCTTTTGATGTACCCCCCGCCGGTTCCTGAGAGGCTTCAGGATGACTCATGCCTCCCACATCGATGTCTATGCCGACGATCGCGGCTTGGCGATGTGTTTCTCTGTGGCCAATATCCTGCCGGAGTGGTCCAAGGAGATCGTTGCCAAACACCGTTGGGAAACTTTGGAAGACGTCGTCTATTGGTTTGATGAGGTGAATATTGAAGACTCCCTCACCCAGGTGCTGCTGACCACTACGTTGAAGGACAACCGCCTGGTTCGGTCTCGCTTGAAGGCGGCCCGGGCTGCGGGGCTTGCAGCCATCAAGACTGCAGCCGCCGAGCAGAAGCATGTGGATGCCCCTGACGAAATCCTTCCAGATAGTACTATGCAGCAGATGTCGGGAGATTTCATGGCCAAGTACAACATGGCTCTGGATCCTATGCTTGAGCCCTCCGATGCCCTTCGCAGCAGGTGTTACCGAGAATTCCGCAAGCGCACCATGACTGTCATTCCGGCCAGCAAGATCCGGTCTATCCTGCATCAGTCCACCCCTCGCGTCCAGGAGGCGGTCAGACTGGGTTCTGGCGTGCAGCTGGAGTTTCAGACGGAGGAAGGACGGGTAGTCAAGACAGTGGTCGACCACTACTGGGCGCTGCGGACCTTAGCCTATGCCTGGGGCTGGGCTGGCCTCTTCAAGCAGCAGGATTTCGACAAGCAGGAGCGCACTTTCATGCCCTTGGACCAAGCACTGGCCTACGCGGACCATGCTTTGCAATCAACGATGGAGTATGGCCATGGTAGTTTGCTCTGGTTAGAGAAGTGTGACACTCTCACTCTCACCAGGTCCAAGATGGCTTCCCTGGTTCGACGAGGCTACACAGGCGGCAGCGCTTTGGCCGAAGCCCTCCGCCAAACTCACCTGGAGTGGCGATCCCCAGCTTTGCAGCCTTCTATGCCTGAGGCGGCCCCGGCCAAGCGCAAAGCTGCGGAGATGGCGCCCTCTGTGGAGACAGCTCCCCCGGCCAGGCGCCAGATCAAGTCAGACCGGTGGCCTACAGTGAGCCAGATCAAGGGCGGCCAGCGGTTTTGCAAGCCATGGAATGATGGCAGGGGCTGCCAGCAAGCAAAGTGCCCCAACATCCACAAGTGCGACGTGAAGCTCTCTACGGGGAAGCCATGCTCTGCAGGCCATACTCGCCTGCAGCACTCTGAATAGGGACAGCTCCCCCTAGGGGCCTGGGAGCCCCGGGGGGAAGAGGAGACGTGGCATTCTTCACAGCTTTCCCTCATGGAGGCACCGCATCCCGTTCTGGGCAGGCGTGTGGTTTTGGCTGGAGACCCCGCTCCTCTCATGGGCCCTATGGATGTCACCGCACGCCTCACAGCGGCCAAGCCTGTGAGCTGGCGGGGGCGCAGCGATCTGCCGCAGTATCCATGGGCGAAACCTTTTCGGGGCACGTGGTTGGTTGTTGATCTCTGGGCTGGTGTGGGGGGTCTCTGTGTAGCCCTCCTCGCCATGGGTGTTCATTTCTACGCCCTCAGTGCTGAGAGTGATGAGGATGCAGTGCGCTGTGCAGCGCAGGCTATGCCTAACCTGGTGCACATGGATCGGGTGGAGGATGTGCGGGCCGACCACTTTCGGGGCCTTCTTCAGCGCCGTCGCCCGCGTGGTATCCTGATTGGGGGTGGCTCCCCATGCCAGGGCAACTCATCCTTGAACACCAAGCGCAAAGGTTTGGATGACCCCCGCTCTCAACAACCACTGGAATTGCAGCGCATTATCCATGAATTTCGGGCTCTCCCTGAAGCCGCGGGCATGGAGATCGTGGCCTTTTTGGAGAATGTCGCAAGCATGCCTGCCAATGTCCGGGACCAATACAGTACCTGGCTGGGATGCCAGCCTATTTGCATGGACGCGGCCAGCTGTGGTTGGGTGCGCCGGCGGCGCCTTTTCTGGCTCTGCTCGGCCACTCGGGGCGTGAGTGCACAGACGCCTCCGCCTGCTTCGTGGACGTGGGCCTCAAACGAGACTACTGTCCCTACGCTTCGCTTTGATGGAAAAAAGCCGGTGCCTGCACAGGTGTGGTGGAGTGGCCCTTACCTCCCACTGTTAGACCCGGTTCAAGTGCTCCGTGACCAGGGTGCCGGGGCTATGCACCCTTTTACTAGAGAGTTTTGGCACCCGGCTGATCGCGTGAGGGATGCCACCCCAGCCGCGGTTGACCGGTTTTACCACGATCATCGCAGGTTCCCCCCAGCAGCATATGAGGAAGCCTCCTTGCTCTGGTCCGGGTCGGATTGGCGTACCCTCCATCCGTCTGAGCGGTGCCAACTTATGGGGATCCCTCCGGACTTGGTTGAACCAGTGCGAGGGCACCCATCCAAGCGTACTCAAGTCAAGAATTCCTTGATCGGCAATGGTTTCCACATCCCGTGCATTATTGCCTTGTTAACCATGCTGCCTGGGATCTTGTCTACTAAGATCCACTCTCCGCTATATGACCATGATGAGCTGGCCCTTCAGGCACGCCTGCAGCACTCGGTCTGGGCACCGGGCCGCCTGCAGCACATGCCTGGGTTGCTCCAGGTGGAGGAGGTGGTCTCGAGATTGACAGTTGTTTTCCCATACATTGGCATCGAGTCGCCGGTCTGGGCTGAGATCCGTCCGCGTCTCGCCTCGTGTGATCTGTCGCTCCTGCAGGCCTACCCCGCATGGAGGCACCTGCGCCAGGAGCCTTGGCAGGAATTAGGGCCAGTTCCTATTTGGGGGCGACAGCGAACCGAGATTTACGCAGGTCTATCGGGCCAGCGCTATGCGAGTTCTTCTGCTAGAGGCCTCGACCACCTTCTAGTCCCCGGGCTTGGGAAGGAGGCTCATGTCGCAGCATCGGCCGAACTGCCTACCCCTTTCTACCCGCGGGACTGGCCAGAACCGGACATTGGTTTTGTTGTTGAAGCACTATATGTATGGCAGAGGTGCCTCCCACGTTATGCGGCCAAACTCCGGCATGTGTTGAACACCGTGTCGAGGGCCCTAACACCCCTGGAAGAGGCCTTGGTGCCCTTTCGCTGCCAGGCGGCGAAACAGGTTGCTCACGGAAAGAAACCAGCATTGACTGCTGTGCTGGCCATTTTGATTCGTTGGCCTGACCTTTCGCTTGCTCAGCACTTGGTGCAAGGATTTCCCATCGTAGGAGATTTGGCCCATTCAGGTGTGTTCAGACCCGTCAGACAAGAAGGCAAAGCGGCTCTGTCCGAGTGGCTGGGTCCCTCGGCAGACGCAGACGTTCGCCGGTTAGTGCATAGCAGGCCTCCTCTGCACAGTGATGCTATCTACCAGATTACTTTGGAGATTGAAAAGCTCCAACCTCCTCCATCAGAGTTGCCAAAAAAAGTAGCTGACACACCCTTGTGTCTTGATAGTATCTGTTATTCACCCTCCGATGAGCCATGTTTGAAGCTTCATTTGCAGAAAAGAAGAAGGACTGCAGAAGCTGAATCTGGCTTTTGCAGCCCGCTGCGGAGCCTCAAGGAGATGGATGACTTGTTTGGGCAGGGTGGATGGAGGGCGGTTGAGCGTTTCCTGATCATCCAGCCGGATGGTAAACAACGGGCGATAGACAATGCGAGAAAGAGTGGACACAACCACCATACGACGATGCCTGAGACCATCTCCACGGTCAATGTTGACTTTGTGGCTGCGGTGGCTCGCATGGTGGACTCAGCATTTGATCTTGACCGCACACCACCTCCCAGCTGGTTGGATCTCCGTCTGGGCACGGACGATCTCCCAGATGCATACAGAGGGTTGCCTGTATGTGATGAACACCTCTGCTACTCAAATGTGGCCATTTTCGTCCCATACCTAGGTTGGAGGTTCACCACTATGTATGGACTTGCTTATGGCTTGGAGAGTGCAGTTGTGAATTTTAACAGGTTTCCGCAACTGGGTGTAGCCATTGTGAGGCGATGCCTCCTTGGGTTCGCGGCCGCGTACTTCGATGACGAGTTGGCCGTCGATTTCATCCAGGATCATGATGTGTCCCAAGTTGGTTTGCAACTGACATTTCGGTTGTTAGGCGCACCGCCACAACCAGCGAAGTCGTTCGCCCCTGGGCACAATCGACATTACCTCGGAACATCCGTCCATGTTGGAGACTTCGTTCATGAGGGTTTGATCCGATTTCAACCCAAGTTTTCCACATCCACCAAGATTTTAAAGAAACTGCGTGCTGCCCTGGACACATCCAGTCTCTCCCCTGATGATGCCGGCAAGCTCCGGGGCGACCTCAACTGGATGTTTTCCATGTGTGCTGGCTATGCAGGCCGTATTGGGGGACCGTTGCTCGCAGCCAAACAGAAAGCGGCATCTCCAGACCTTGCCAAGGATGATTGCCTGACACTGCGGCTTCTCGCAGCCATTGTGGCTTGCCCCGAACCGCGGGTCATCTCTGTCAGGTCTAAACCAGCAACACCCCTGATCATCTACTCTGACGCGTCATTTGAGAATGATACACTCCGGCTGGGCTGGGTGATCATGTGGCGAACTGACACCCCCTGTGGGGTGACCTGCACAGTCCCCCAGCAGGTCATCAGCTCATGGCAGCCCCGCAGCCAGCAGATCTACCCAGGTGAGACCTTGTGTGGACTGCTGGTCCCCTGGTTCCATGGACACGCTCTGGCCGACTTGGATGTATTGTGGTTTGTGGACAACGAAGCTGCAGTAGCTTCCCTGATTCGGGGCGGGAGCTCTCAGGCAGATGTCCACACCATGGTTCAGCTTGCGCATTATTTGCTACAGCATTTTCGGGTCCGAGTGTGGTTCGAGTGGATTGATAGCCACTCCAACCCTTCGGATGGCCTAAGTCGGGCGGGTCTCCTTGATTCGTGGACCCAGCTCCAACCTTGGCACCTTTTTGAATACGATTTTCCCCCTGCTCTCGCACAGGTCGCTCGTCCAGAGGACCTTTCCTCTTTTCTTCCAGTATGGACAGTGGGTGAAGTTGATTTTTGACAGTGGGTTGGATGGCAAGTTCATCTAAGATGACTTACCAAGCTAGTCTG